CAGACACCCTAATGAATTTTCCATGTTTTCCATCATTTAGCTTCTAAATAGGCAGCATTCACAAAAACACCCACCCCAACCCCAACAAACCCCCCATCCTTTCCAGCAGGAGGCCCTGCAGAAGGGTTAACCCCCCACAGATGCCCACGGAGATGATGCCAAAGTGGGAATCTCACGCTGGACCAGGAGATGGGTGTCCCTGTTTGTAAGTTTAGGGGGTCTCTGGGAGTGCAGGATGGGTGTTCTCCACCTCTCTTTGGCCCTATTTCAGAGGAACAGGATTGGGCCTTAGTGATGCTGATTGCTCATTTGTGCAGGGGTCGTTAAGGGCTTGATGAGGGCACGGGATGGTGTGGCCAAGGCAAGAGCCAGGATCCTTGTCCTGTATTCTGCGTAGCCTTCAAATCTTTGCAAGCTAAAAGATTACTTACTGAGGCAGTTTGGACACAACAGAGTCATTAAAATAGAGGCTGGGGTTTAGAGCTTGGTCTGGAATGAGAATGTAATAAGATTTTTGCTGAGATTTTGTTAGTTCTGATCTCAAAGGAAATAGTCTTCATTTTTCCTAGGAGATTTTTTTAGCCTGAACTCCAAGCAATTTAATATCTGAATGCTCAAAAAATAGTCTTCCAAGCTCCAGTGATTTTTTTTCCCCTCCTTTCAGTTTTCTGTTGCAAAAGAAAACCCAAACATTCCCGCTCTGGCTGCCCCAAGCTGTTGCTTCCAGTCCTGTTTTCCAGCATCCCCCTGGAACAGCAGGAGCTCTTGTGTACTCAGGAGCCTTTGGGAGAGGCTGGTGCACCCCACATCCCCACATTGCCATGCTGGGGTCCAGCTTTCCTATTTAAATTCATTAAATTGGTGCAAAACTTGTGTATAAGCAAGATGCAGTGGCAGCACGCTGGATGCTGTGCATGGTAGGTGGCCCACATAAAAATATCACCTATATAAAAACATCACCCATATAAAAACACCACCCATATAAAAATATCACCCATATAATAATAATAATAATAATGCCCATATAAAAAGAATGCCCATATAAAAATAATACCCATATAAAAATAACACCCATCTGGCTCTCAGGTGTTGGGTGTATTTAATACCATCACCTCCCTGGGCCTCCCAGCTGGATTTTAGCTGCTGCCATGTCCCCCCTTGCACTGCTTTGGTCCAGCATCTCCTGCTCCAACCACATCCTCACCCCCTCTGCCATCACCCCATGGGTACCAGCACCAAAACCACTTGGCAGAGGGCTGGCACCCCCTTGATTCCATGGATCCCATGGACGACCCAGTGCATATCACTACAACAAAGCCCTTGTTATTAATCCTCTTTTTCTTTTCCCTTTCCTTCCCTTTGCAGCTTTAAACGAGGCTGCAAGAAAAGCACAGCCCAACTTGGAACAGAAAGTTCCTGTAAATAACAGCTACACCTCGGGGTGTTTCCTCTCCCAGTAGCTGTGAAGAAAAAGGCAGCTATGTCTTGGGTTTGCCTTGGAACACATTTCCGCTGGCCAGGGCTGTGGAGCCAGGGCTGAGCATTTATTGTGGTTTGGTTTGGGCTTTTCCTAATTTCCACCCCCCCCCCCTTTTTTTTTTTTTTTTCCCCTTTTTCCATGCAAACACTGCTGAGGGCTTTGCCTACAGAGATGCTGCAAAGAGGAGGCAGAGCACTGGCTCCAGCACGTCCTCCCTGCTCTCGGGCACGGCGCTGGCATGGCCCCGGCGTTCCTTCCCCGGGATCATGAATAACTCTGGCGCTGAGTGACTCGGCTCCTCGGGAGCCCCAGCCTGCAGCGCCTTGGCATGGGATGCTATTGTAGGCTGGGATTCTTTCATTTTTGCCTTTTCAGTCATTTGGGTTCTGGAGGCGAGTGGTGAGTGCTAAAGGGTTTGGGCTTGGACCGCCTGGGAGTTTGGGTCCCGCCGAAGATTTGTGCTGGAGCTTTTGTGGCTCGGGAAGCGGCGCGGCGATGACAGGCGGAGGGCAGGGAGCGGGATGCTTGGCTGGGATGCAGGGATCACCTTGCCAGGTCTACCCCAGCGCAGGGTTAGTGGTCCAGACCCACCTTGGAGAAGCACAAAGGGGTTTTCTCAGAGCTTGGGTCCCCCCAGCCCATCACATCCCTGCCCGCCCTCCTCCCTGGGCACCCTTGCGATGCCTCCTTGGGCCAAACTGCGATTGAGACCAGCCATGAACCCCCCTCAAACACCACGTCTGGGCACCGTGGTGCTCAAAGAGGTGCCAAAATTAGACCCTGGACAAAAAGCAGCGTGAGGAACCTTCCTCTGCGGCGGGGCACAGACCTGCTCCCCGCAGCGAGAAGTGAGCAGGCGGAAGGCACCGGGGAGACTTGTAACCATACGTTTATTATTCCACATGGAAAGTCATTAACATGATTACATGGAGGCCTGGCTCTATAATCACGTACATTGGATAAGAACATCGACACCGTTACCAGAGAAGCAGAACTGACCACTGTGCCATGGCTTCGACCCCACGCCATCCCCACCCGCTCCCGACAGAGCCCGACTGTTCTCAGGGAAGTCACAGCTTCTTCCAGTGACTTCAACAGGAGCAGACCCTCCTCTTCCTCTCCCCTCCCACCCCCCCTCCCCAGTGACAAGTGCTACAGGTTAAAAAGTTGGGCTACATATTAAATATAGGGCATTACCTTCAAGTAGGGCTGGTATATTACACAAATAACCACATTTTTTGGTATCGCTAGCATTTTTTTTTTAATGTCCACTGTAAGACATCATTAAAAAAAACAAACAAAAACTTCAGCCTTTTTTATCTACAAAGATCTTTGTTCTCATCTCCTTAGTCTGGTGTTATTTTACCCTGCACGTACAAGTATTAGAAGCATTATTAAGAATCGTATCCTTCAACACACTTAAGAATTATATTATTATAACAAATAAGACCAAAAATTAGATTTTATAGTTAAATATTCTGTGAGCCAGACAAAGGGGTTTTACTGTACAAGCGATTGTGCATTTTTTTAAAAAAGCAAATTATAGTGCAAAGCAAAAAACATTGGCCTGTCTCGTGACCATTTGCATACAACAGAGGTGCATCTATTTACACCTTCACATGACAATATGTCATAAAAACAACATCGTTGCCATTCCTATTATTTTCTCTTTTAAAATTCATTACAAACAGTCTTAAATTAACCTAGTACTACGAATGCCTTGTTTCCTTTGTGCTTTCAGTCAGTGGATGAAAAACGTAAATGCATCAAACACAGGCTGCCGTGGTCCAGTTCCAGAGCCGGCGAGCGCCGGCGCGGTGCCTGCTGGCGCTAAGGCAAGTGAAGGTTGCAGTTTTGCTGGGGTAAGGCTTTTTATTTTTTATTATTATTATTATTATTATTATAATTATCATTATTATTATTATTATTTAAAGGAGTTGTTCTTCTTGTTGCTTACGGAACTCGTGAGTGGTCATCGCAGCTTTCCAACCAAGCCGGGATGTCTTGCTCCAGTCTCGACGTGGTAGTGCAATTACAACGCTCTGTGCCTCGACCGAGGGCTGACAAGCTGCCAGCTGAGATTTGGGGACAGGTGACGTGGCTGTGATGGTGTGACTGAGGCGGAGGGGCCCAGGGGGGCAGCTATGGGGTTTCAATTTTCTGATGTTCACGGTAAAAAAGTAAAAGGCAAAGGCTCGGCTACTGGTGGCGCTGGGGGCTGGGACTGTCCGTGTCCCCTCGCTGCAGGGGAGGCTCTGGAGGGCAGTGGGTACTGCAGTTACACATTCCCCAGGAACCCATCCACACACCCTCAGCCCTGCCAGGGCAGGGAATCATGAATCCAGTCCCAATTCCCATGCCAGCATAAAGCCCAGCTGGCTTGCAGGAGGTGACAAACCCTGCATTGTGCATCAGAGCCAAACCACTGACCCCGGCTTGGAGGAGCCCAGACAGCCCCTCCAGCTGCCTACGACCTCCCATCATGGCCCTGTTTGGTTGCAATGTCTTTGGTATCAGCTACGAGGGTGCCTGGGAGAGCTGGTTCCTCCAAATGCCACAAGATGCAACCGGTCATTGATGGGCCAATGGTACCTTTAGTGCCCCTTCTTCAGCTTATTCATCTACAGCATGATACCCATGCTCTGGGTCGCTTGAGGGGGAGGGAAGGAGGGTGAGGGGATGGAAAAGACTAGATAACATCACTTCACAATATTCCCAACCACCAAGTGTAAAAAGTGCTCCTTTCTCCAAATCTCAGTTAGAGCTTTCAGCATGAACCAAGTGTAAGTCAAAATAAAAAGTCATCGTGTCAATCCACTCTGAGTGAAAATGTGGGAAAGAATCATAACAGAATAATGATGCTTTGCCACCAGCTGCATGTGTTGCCACTCAGAGAGGAGGAAAGAAGACCCAGAGAGCAGTGGCAAGGTCATGCCAAAGGCCCCCGAGTCCCTTTTGCAGCTAACGCGCTTGGAAGTGCATCTCATCCGTCTTGGATTGTCCTGAATGCCACCTTCACTTCAGCCACCATCACTGAGATCTGCTAAGAGGAGCAAAGAACTGAGTGGTGAGGTCAGGACAGAAGAGCAAACAAAACAAAACAAAACACGTCGCGTAAAAAGTACATCTCGTGTGTAAACATAGAGAAAAGGGGCCGGTCAGGCAGGGGATCAGCCACGTTACTGTTTTAAAAGTGACGACAATGACAAAAAAAATGAACAATACAACCTCTGTCGCCAACAGCAAATAATAATAATAATAATAATAATAATAATAATAATAATAATAATAATAATCACATCACAGCTCCTGTTCACGTGGCTGACGCCGGCCCAGCCCCGCCGTGCCCGATCCCCGCGGTTGTGCTGTAAACCCGACTGCTCTGGCGTCGTTCCGGAGCTCTTTGGTGGTCAGGGACCCTACACCAGTGGGAAGGGAAGGAGAAGAGAAAATGGGATTTTTTTTTTTCCTTTTTTTTTTTCCCCCCTCCTTTTTTTTTTTTTTTCTCAGTTCAGTCCTCTTGCTCTGGCAGAGAGATGGTTTGGGCAACTCCCTGGTCTTTTCTCTTCTCTGAATCATTTTGCAGAGGAAGGGTGAAGCTTTTCTTCACTCTTTCTGAGGGGGAGAGGTGTGAGTGAGATGACTGAGAAGTGTTCTGTGAGTAACAAACATCTGATTCCACATGTCCTTTTTTTTTCCCCCCCCTATGTACAATCCACATACTTAAGACACACAAAGGGAACCACATCAAGCCTCGTGGATGTTCATCTTGAAATGTAACATAGGTCCTGGTCCGTCTTTGCTTGATGTTTGCCCGTGCTTGCATACAGAGGATCCTGGTTTGCTTTTGGTTTGGGAGACTTTGGTTTAGGCATCACTATGCTCTGGTCACTACCAAAAGGAGCAAAAGGTGGCTGATTGAGTTAAAAGACATTGGTGCACAGCTGAGTTCCTCCTAGTAGGGTCTCCAGACCGACTCATCCATCCTCCCAGTAGTCGTCATGGTCGTGGGTGAGTTACTGTGGCTCCCGTCCGCGTCCACCCCGTCGTTCTGATTGCCCAGGGTGGGATTCATTAGGTTGTTCCCTGCTGAGGCGCTTGTGCAGGACGAGAGCATCCGGGTGGGCGAGCGCTCGCCGCCCGCCACCATGGAGAACTGGTAGGAGCCCGAGGACGTGCCGTAGTACAAATGGTAGGGAGAGGGGTTGGCCTGGAAGGGTCCACTCTGGTTCTGCGTGGAGCCGGGGTAGGGGGGCGGCAGGTAGGTGTGGTGGAAGCGTGTCGTGGTGGGCATGCTGGTCATGCTGATGCCCCCGATGCCCGTGGCCGAGGGGGTGGCGGTGTAGGGGAAGGCAGCGGACATGGCGCCGGGATAATGCATCCGTGGGTCGGAGAACCTGGTCTCGGTGAGCGCCGGCAGCGTCGGGAAGGAGCGGTCGAACTGCCGGGGGTCAGAGAAGGGGCTCAGGTCTGACGTGCCTGTTGGGGCGGAGGAAGAAAGAGGGTGCTTAGAGCACTGTCCTTGAGAGTTTGTCCTACAGCCCCCCTGCCCTAGGAATTAAAGTCAGAAGGAAAAGCATCTCCTGGATCTGCCAGGGAAGAGAGCTGGGGGACTTAAATAAAAATAAAAAAAAAAAAATAAAATCCCCAAACCCGTTTGTTTAAGTTGTTCCCATTTCCTGTCCTCAGATTTGTTGTTTCCTATCCAAGAAGGGACACGACTAAGCTGAGCTTCTCTAAGGGGTCTATTCATCTCCGGCAGATTAAAAAAGCACACCCCGTAAACACAGAAAAAAAATGTTTAGCCATTACATCAGCTGTGTAGTAAATAAATGGATGCAGGCCCCAGACGGCCGGTCCCTGGGATCCTCCGTGGTGTATATACACACACACAGAGACAGGGAGGAAAAGCTGGAGCCCAGACCAGCCTGCTAAGCCTTCTTGTGGGTGGCCTGTTCGTGCTGATACCATCAGGGGATGGAGCTGATAAACACACAGCTGAAAACTCCCAAGCTAGGAGCCACAATATCCCTCTGCTTGAGTTCTCTGTGTATTTTTCTCCTTCCAAGAGGATAAAGAGAGTGAGAAATTCAGGCTTTCTTCTGCTGGGGGAAGGGAGACTCGGGGCAGCGCAGCGGGGACGTTACCCAGCTCCATTGGGTGCTGGAGCCCCCCACACCTTTTCTTGGGGGATCTATAAACACAGGGCATCACAGTCAGCTTGGAACTGGAGAGGGTTCTTGGATCCCATCCTCCTGTGGGGAGCCCAGGTTAGAGGTGGGAATCCAAACCAGCAGATCCTTTGAGGACCTCAAGGTGTTCCTGTGGTTCTCTCAGCTGTCCCAAGTCCGGTGCCATTCCTTTAAAAGTCCAGAAACCTCCAGCCTTGGTGCATCAAGACAGACAGAAATGAGTTTTGCTCTCCAAAGAGAGAAGCAAAACCTCTGTATTTGAGACCTCCACAGCCCAGGTCAAGCTCCAGCACTGGGTCTGCAGAGGGCATGTCTAGAAACACTGTGACTCCACCTTCCTCAGCCTTGTGACACTCCTTGTGAGAAGAAAATCTCTTGAAAGAGCAATTCTAACCCAAAGCTGATGCACTGAGCTCAAAGCCCTGCCCAGCTGGAGGTGGCTCTCCATCCTTTCTGATTACTCCCAAGACCCCTATTTTTCCCTTGTTAAAAGCAGGGCCTTTCTGCTTTGGTAGTGGAATCCAGCCCCAGTGACTTTTTTTGGTCATGTCAGCTGGATTTTGAATCACTCGGAGCAAGAGAAGGTGAGGTGAGTATGCTAAACATGCTTGTTGGGCTTGGATATGCATATACATACAAACTCACATTCACAGGGTTGGGTGTCTGCTCTGCATGCACAGGGATGTGTGTTTTATATATATATATTTATTACAATGAAGCACTTTTAACTTCTCAGGGTTGGAGTTCCAGGCCCTGAAGCATTTCCCCAGGAAAAAAACCACTTCAGTTAATCCCTTCCAGCTACCTGGTGACACGGGCACGCTCTGGAGGGGCAGGTAGGGAGGGGATTTGCTCTCAACCCTCTTTCTAATCCCGGGTGAGTCCTTCAGCCACCGGCCGCTGGAAGGAGGAGGGGAGAGGAGGTTCCTCCCTCCCCTGCAGCCCTTTTGCCTTCCCACGCAGGCTCCACGGAGGGGAAAGGCGGGGGAGCACCTGGTTTGTGAACGTGGCTGTGGCTTTGGTGCGAGATAAGAGAGGAGCAGCCCTAAGCTGTCACGAACCACACTGCTCTGCTGGAAAAGCCGACTGTGGAAGCGGCTGCCTGGCCACAGGGCTGTCCTTGCTCCACGCCATGAGCAGGGGTAGAGCGCTCGGGCTGGCTGGAAAAGCACGACGCTGTGAAAAGTGCTCACAACTGACCGAGCCGACCTGATTTCACATCCCAGCAGGACGCTCTGCCCCATCCCAAAGCCGGGCTGCTGCAACAGCAGCACCAAAATACTGTCAGGCACTGGGAGCCGAGGTTTGGAGACCAGCTCTGCAAGAAGCAGCTTGACCAGAGCCTGTAGCTTTAGCAATCCAGCAGCATCACAGCACACGGTGGGACCACAGGACAAAAATCCTGGCTGAACGTGGACTGGAAAGAAAAAGTGCTATTTTCTGAACAAAATGCCTCTCCTTACATGCAGCAGCTCTGCCACTGCTGGTTTGCCATACACTGCGAAAAAAGCAGCCTCCAAACCCCCCCAGTCCCCAGAAAACCCAGACTGGCGCTTGCTGCCTTCCCAGATGACAATCTCCAGCGCTCAGACCGTGCTCCTTCGTTACCTTTCACAGGCCCATAAATAATATTCCATAAAATGCAAATCGAAATCAAACCTAAGTGCTCAGGGCACATTTCCCTTTTCCTCTATAACACACTCAAAGGTTTGTGTTTGGGTTTTTTTTTTTTTTTAGAGGCTACATTTTATTGGCCTGAATTTGCACCGTTTGGCAACGGGTCCTTGCTACTAATTCAGACAGGAGTGTGTGAGAGTGTTCGTTACAGGCTGTGAGTGTGACAAGCACAGCACAGCGATGCCGTGGGGTCTGGAGGCACTCAGCTATCGCCCGAAAAACACGGGTGGGCAGCGAGGGAGCTCTGCCAGGGTCTGATCCTGGACAGAGGGCACTCTGCAGGCTTGGGATCCATGAATCTGGAGCGTGAATCCCTGAGAAAGCAAACCCCTCAGCGTAAACCCTGAGTGTGAATCCACATCCAGCAGAGCCACGGGGCACCCAGCCCGCCGTGACCAGCTCGCTTTCATCTCCGCCGGCCTTGGGCTCCAAAGTCTGGCCCAGAATAGAGCTCCAGCTCTCCCCGACCAGTCTGAGGCTAAAAATAAACCCCAAAACCACCTCAAAAACAAAACCCCACTTGTGTATTTCGCCGCTGTGTTATCTGGGTGTGTATGTGTGTGTGTGGGGGGGGGTGGTGGTTCAGCCTCGCAGACACCGGGCTGTGCCGCTCTATAACGCCGGTCTCTGTTCCACCACGGCCCCCCCGGTGGGGACGAGCTGCACACCGCGGCACCCCGGCGGGAGAGCGGTTCCCCCCGGGGGGGTTCCTGGTCCTCGGTGTCGGCCCCGGCCCGTGTCGGCCCCGGTGCCCCTCAGGGGCGGGCGGGCTCGGCGGTCCCGCCGCCAGCAGGGGGCGGCTGCGGGCGGGCGGGCGGCGGGAGGCGGGAGGGAGGGAGGGAGGCGGCCGCTAGAGGGGGTTCCGCCATCGCCGCTCCGCTGTCACCGCGCTAACGCCCCTCCATCTCGGGCACTTCACCGCAGGCTTTCCCCTCCGTCCCGTCTCCTTCACCTCACGACAGCCCCCTTCCATATGGAGGGTTTCACCCCTCCGTCCCGTCTCATTAGCCCCAGGGCTGCCCCTCCGTCTCGGCCGCTTCACCGCCGGCTCAGCGCTGTCACTTCACAACTGCCGCTTCCGTCTTGGTCCTCACCTCGGGGCTGCCCCTCCACCTCCGACCTCACCTCAAGGTTTCCCCTCTGTCTTGGTCCTTGCTCAAGGTTTCCCCTCTGTCTTGGTCCTTGCTCAAGGTTTTGCCTCCATCCTATCTTCTTCATCTCGGAGCTGCCCTTCCATCTTGGCTCCCTCACCTCAGTCCTCATCTCAGGGTTTCCCCTTCATCCCATCTCCTTCACTTCACAACTGCTCCTCCACCTCAGCACTGTCACCTCACAACTGTCCCTCCATCTTGGTCCTCACCACAGGGTTCCTCTTCCATCCCATCTCAGAGCTCCATCTCCATCTTGGTCCTCACCACAGGGTTCCTCTTCCATCCCATCTCAGAGCTCCATCTCCATCTTGGTCCTCACCACAGGGTTCCTCTTCCATCCCATCTCAGAGCTCCATCTCCATCTTGGCTCTCTCGTCTCAGGGCTGCCCCTCTAGCTCAACCCTTAGCTTAAGGTTTCCCCTCCACCCTGTCTTCTCCACCTCAGTGCCCTCACCTCAGAGCTGCCCCTATATCTTGGCCCTCGCCTCAGGGTTTCCCCTCCATCCCATCTCGTTCACCTCACAACCTCCCCTCCATCTGGGTTCCCTCTCCTCAGGGCTGCCACGGATCCACACAGATTGCAACCACACAGCCCCGTTCCCACTGCCCTGGCCAGGGGCATCATCCCTCCTGCCCTGCTTCCGAGGAGATCTCCACTGAAACAGCCCCAGCAAGGTCCAAGTAAAACATCGCCATTAACACACCCCCATAACCACCTAACTCAGCAGCGAGCAACCCTCTGGCACACTCAGCCAGAATCAAACAGCAACCTGGAGCGAGCAACATGCTGAGAAAATGTCGGAGAAGAAGGAGTGGGTGAAGCTGCACCCTTGGACTCCACATTCCCTTAGGAATCACAGCTGAAAATGGGCTTTAAAAGCCCCATCTCACTGTCCCCTTCCCCGCTGCATCTCACACACATCTGCTCCATAGTTCTGCCTCCGAGGATTTACTACAGTTTCCCTCTCTTACTCTCTGTCCAGCCCCCATTTGCTTTTTTGGACCCTGGCAATCTGAGCTTGAGTATTTCAGTTGTCCAGTTGCCAATCAAAATATTTGAAGGAAATGTTTATTTTCTTCTCGAAATCACACCAGCTGCTGCACTAACTGAATAAGCCCATTTAGCTGTAAGAATTTAACCATTGTAAGAGTGAATTGAGTCCCCCAACTACTCCAAAATCTGACCCAATCTATCAGCGGAAATGTCAATGTTTTGGATGGGAGTTTGGGGAAGTGTGGAATGTGTATTAAATAAAAGCCATGTAAAGGTCAAAGCCCTGATTAGTAATGCCACTGTGTCCTCCTTAGGGCTGAGCTGCCCAGGGGACCTCGGAGGCCAGGACACACCCTGTGATTTAATTGTGCAGCTGCAATTTGCACCTTTCAAGGACCCCCAAGTCCTCCTGCACGTGGAGCTGGATAGAAACAGGCTTTGAAAGCTGCTCAGCCCCTTTCCAGA